CCTCCCTCCCCTCCGTCTCTGACTCACTTGCCAGTGCAGTTGCACTGCTGGGCTGGGAAGATGTCCACACACTCACCCTGAGCAGCCTGCACCCATACACACACACATCCATCCATCCATCAATCTATCTGTGGTGTGATGGCCAACCAAGAATTCGTCAGTAGGGTCGGAGCAGTTGCCCGTGCACATGGCGGTTGAGCAGTCCTCGCCTCTGAATCCCGTTTCTGGGTCGCACACACAGCGGCCGTCGACGCATTGGCCCCGCTGGTTGCAAAAGAGGCACACGGCCTGCTGGTTGAAGGGCATTACGTAGCACTTGGAGCCGGGACACAGAGGCTCCGAACAATCCTGACCGCAGTGGAGGGGACAGATAGACAGGAGGGAGGGGACTGTCTGTAGACTCACTCACCGCGCCGTGCCAGCCGTCGTCGCACAGGCAGACGCCCATCGAACAGACACCCCTGCAGAGAGAGGAGAGGGAGACACACACAGGAAAGGTGAGTGTGTGATGATGTGCGTGGTTTGTTGACCTGACTGACCGGTTGCTGCAGAGGTTTGGGCATCTGGCGGGGTTGAACATCCACACCCCAGGGGCGAACTGAACGGCAAACTCGGAGCGCACCTCCGTGCAGTCGTCGTTGCCCTCCTTCAAACAACTGCCAGATCCCATCCCATCAGACAGACAAATGAGTGCTGTCCGCTGTCCGTCTGTCTGTCTGTCTGTTTGGGTACCGTCTCTCTCTGTCTCGCTCATTATCCGTGAGAGTCGTGTTCGTCGGCTTCCAAGTGAGGCCACTGCAAACAACACACACACGGACAGGACAGCCACCCGCAGCAGTGTGGGTGGATTCATGGCATCGCCGCCACCTCTCCTAACATAACACACGTAACTGACGTACCCGAACAGTATGACCTGCTGCAGCTTGTCCGAGTAGACCATGGCCTGGTACGCTGACGGGGGCGGCAGGTCGCCGTAGTTGCCGTCCAGCCGCGCCCACACACGGTTCTCGCGGTCCGCATCCACACCCAATACCCACACCTCATCAAACGGCGTGTCCTGACACACACACAACACAAGGCCCCACACACGCTGCGTGTGTGTGTGTGTGTGTGTGTGATGTGCGCGTGGCGTGGGGTTACTTGTCTGAATCCTCCGAAGAGCATGAGCTGTGCGTGACCGCTGCGTGGGTTGAGGGCGATGAGCGAGTGGCCGCGGCGGGCAATGAAGGTGCCCTCCACGTCCGTGTTGAGCTACATGCACATGACACACACGCGCGCACACACAGAGTGCTAGGTGGGGCGTAGAGTAGATGGGCCCTAAGTTACCTGCAGCCATCTGTTCTTGAGGGGCGAGTAGGTCCACGCGTCGCTCAGATAGTAACCAGGGCTGACGCACAAAGACACACACACACACACACACGTACACACATATACCATAGATGTCTCATTTCTGTCTGCATGAACACAGGTCTCCGTGCTTACGTGCCGGGTGTAGAGTAGGTGGGGAAAGGGTTCTTGCCATCCTCATTGGGGAAGGGCGACTCGGGCGTGCGGAAGCCACCGTGAATGACCAGTGTGGACGTGTTGCCCACCACCACAGCCCCGAACTCCGCCCGAGCAGCCGGACCGAATCCACCCTCCTCTGATGTGGTGAGGTTCAGCTGCGGCAGATCGTAAATGGACATCACGTCGGGATCCTGATATATAGGGCAAATGCACAAGACGACGCAGGCAGGCAGCTGTGTTGATTCACGGGCGTGGGGGTGTGTGTGTGTGTGGTGGGGGGGGAGGGAGGGTGTTGGGGGCGGGTGTGTGTTTCTACGGTGATGTAGTAGTCGAAGTAGTTGCCGGTGTTGAGCAGGAGTCGCTGCGTGACGGTCGTCACGGCAGAGGGGAACAGCATCTCCCAATAATTCGACACGACCCTGCCAGTCAGTCAGCAGAAAGGCCCACACCACACCATTACCCAAACACTCACTCTCTCGCCCATCTGTCTGTCTGTCTGTCTGTCCACCTGTCCACCTGCCCACCTGTATTTGTAAATGTCGTTGTAGAATTTTCCCGGTCCGTGTCCGCCGATGAGGTAAATCTGCTCGCTGTCGATGGTGGCCACCATCTGGTGGCCGTACACGCGCACGCCGGCCTCCCCGCCAGGCCCGTCGTTGACCTTCTCCCACACGTTGGCGCGCTCCCACACACGGCCCACAAATCGGGGGTAGAAGGCTTGTGCGGCCCACGGTATTTCGTACCGCCACAGGTCGTTGCAGATGCCCTGCTCGCACTTGGGGCCCAGGCCGCCGAACACATACAGAAACTGACGACGCACACCGTCCTAATCGGCATATAGAACACACAGAGACACCGACAGAGGCGAGAAAGGTGCAAGGAGGCAGAATGAATTCAGTCAACATGAGGGTTCACCTTGTCGTTTGAGCCATCGAGTGTGATCAGTACTGCCGAATGGAAATAACGCTCAGTCGGCACCGCTGCAGCAGCGCCTGAACGACCAAAGAACAAAGTGGAGGCGTACTGGTGTCTCTGAATATGGATGGACACGTACTCTCAGCGCTGTCAGTGTCATTTCCGCCGCCCACAGTGACGAGCGGGCTGGCCTTGACGAACGACCATTCCTGTGTCTCGGTGTCAAACCTGACGTGGCATCGTGGATGATGCACACACACAGAAGTGCATCCAGCTGTGCCCTACTGCTGCCGCCCTCCCTCCCTTGTGTACCATACCTCCATAGCTCTGAAGTGGTCCTCTCGAGGCATGAGCGGAACTCCACAGGAAGGGCGGTGTTGTTCTCCACCAACTCGGACGCAATGTCCTCGCACTCGTGATACACCAACCTGGCAGACACGCAGAGAGAGGGACGTGACGCAGACAGACCACCTTAGGTGTATTGTCTTATCGGGGGTATTGCGCACCTTCCCTCATCGTCGTGTCGGTGCTCGTAGGTGCGCCCGCCAAACATCTGATGCCCATACACACACAGAGAGAGACAGGAGAGGAAGGCTCTCCTTCGCTGGACACATTTCTGCGTGTACCAGCACGATGTCTCGGTCTAGCGGCACCTTCTGCCCCATCACGTCACGAGTCCGCTCGCACAACTGACAAGCACATGACGAACAGAGGCCCAAGGATGCTCCACACACATCCGTTTCCAGTCCTTTCCTTCCTGTCTGACTTGACTGCCTGACCACTCTGCTTTGGCAGCAGTCGGGCGGGCACTGCTCGAGCTCCATCCCTGCCCACGGCTCCTCGCGGTCATCAGACGGCTGCACGCCACCTGACACGGCATTCATGGCCACACACCCACACACGTGCTTACATGGGACTGTGGCTGCCCTTTTCTTTCTATGCGTACCGTAGCACGTCAAGTTGGTGAGGCATGTCTCGTCACATGAGGGGTGGGGACACATACTCGGCAGAATGTGATCCTTCAACTGCCGGCCGGACAAAAGCATGAAAGGCCAGCCAGCATATGGAGGCGATGCATACGCGAAGGGCCCGGCCCCATCGTTCATTTGCCGTGTGTGTGTGCGTAGCGCTGTGTACGTTCCATGTTCTGTACACGACCATGGTGTGGCCATATCGGCTCGACGGCACTGCATTGATAAACGAACACTTCGAGCCTGCACAGATCCAAATCGACACACAATAGGCAAAGCGACACGCACGTGTACGACGTGAGCAACACATCCCTCCCGACCTCCAACGCATTCGACGGGCCGCCAGTCCTTCTCTTTCGGGTAGGTGTAGTGCCGCCACGGCTCGCCCGTCCGCATCGGCGTCGCGGCGTCGACGGCCTGTGGCACGATGGCCATGGCGGGATTGTACACCTCCACACGGTGAGCGTAGAAGACATAACCCACACCATCCGTCCTGATCACACATCCCATCGACACAGGAATGGAAACGAAACACACCCCATGAGAATCTCGCCGTCCCCTTCTCTCCGGTCTGCCTACGTGTTGGTATGTGACAGCCCGGCCATGACGCTATGCACGACGCTGCTCGCTTCGCTTGCATTTGTGTAGTTGATCCCCTCTGGCGCGTCCATGGCCAGGTAAAGTGGCACCCCAGTGACATTGTACCTCTCCACCGCCCCGCCCCCCATCCAGGTGTCATTGAGCAACCCACGCACATGGGAGGAGTTCTCGGCCCTGAACAGCACACGGACGCACCCCACCGGGCGATAGCCGGCAAGAGGGGAGAGATTGGCCGCCGGATCGATGGCCGATGGGGCATCGTCTTCAGAGGGCAACAAGTGCCGCAGGCAACAGGTGACATTGGCGGTGTCGTTGACGTTGAGGGTGATGTCAGTCGAGTTGGACGTCGCGTTTGTCGCATTTATAGAACCATCCATGCCCAAGGATAGAATCGTGTCGTTGGCCTTGCTGCGGACCGTGACTGTGGTGAGGCCGGCCAGGGACTCCTCTGCAATGGTCGCCTGTCCCACAATGTCATACCGAGAGCCATCGAGCAGATGCCGCAGACGGGCGGGCGAGAAACCAACGAAATAAAGGTGTTGGAAGGCCTCGACGAGAATGAATGCTGTGCCGTTCCAGCTCTCAGCAATCTCCCCTTCAGACTGCTGCAGCCCTCTCCGCCGGGCTACTTCGTCCTCTGGCTGTATTCCCAGATCCGCAGCAAGCGCCCGGTGGATGCAGACGCCGTTGTGGCCATCACAGTGGGTGCCATTTACCGCCGAGTATGCCGTGACGTTTGCGATGCCGACCGGCAGGCTCAAGGCAGCCAAGGAGCCGTCATCATGGCCACTGATGGTTTTGTCCAGCAGGCGAGATGCGGTGTGTTGAAAGGACTGGTTGAGAGAGCAGCAGGGCACGTAAAGGTAGAGGACGTCGAAATAGAAGTAGGTGTTGCGGTCGTGGTTGTCAACAACATGACCCCCCTGCAGCCGGCGGGACGGGGAGGGCAGATCTGCAGCTGAAGCAGCAGCGGCTGTCTTGGCCACGCAGAGGAACAGACAGCACAGACGCAGGGAAGTTGAAAAAGTGGAAGATCTGGAAGATCTCCATGGGAAGATCTGGCACATACTGTGCTCTCGATCCCCCCCACCGTAACAGCTCGCAAAGTGTGTAAATTCGGTCTGGTAGCACGTCGGTTGCATGCTGCGCCTCTGCCCTTGTGAGGCCTTGATGGAGCTCTTGGGATCAGCTTCACCGTAAATTCGGACACAGGGAGAGGCAGTTAGTTAACAACCGTACGTATACAACAGATAATATCGCCCACACCACTGTGGACGACCTCTCCCGAGATGCAGACAACACCGTTCAGCAACCTCATCAACCACAACAAGAAAACAAATCCAGGATTTCCATCACAGGGATGCAGCAATGTCAGCAATCCATGCCGTCTCCATGTGTCTCTTCATGAGGACGACAGCACCGAGAAGCGCGGGGCATCTGCACGCGTAGATGGAGAGGGGCATGAGTTTGAATCGACGCTTTCATCACAGACTTGCATGTCCATCGTACCTTTGAATTGCTCTGGTCTCCTGACAGCTCTGATTGCGATGGACACCACAGGGGCAGGCGAGCCGTTCCAGCCTGGAGGCACATGCCACCACGCACACATGTCTCACTGTGTCTCTCTGTTAGGACTGAGGGTGGCCTGCCTGTACCTGTCGCCTCCTCGTCAAGATTGATTTCGGCCTCCCCGCCTGTCTCAAGCCGCTCCACATGCGCCTGCAGCGGCACAGTGACCTCCATGGTCGCGCTGGTTTGTGCCGCCGATCCTTGAGTGGCCTCTTCGGGGCTGAAGGAGAACCAGAAGGGCGCGCTGCTGGACAAGCTGACTTTGATGGTGAGAGTGCTGGTGTCAGTGTCGTCGACAAGAGGGACGGCAAAGACAGGAGGGGGCGAACACAGACCTTCACTCGAGACGATGATCCGCTGCACATAGAGACGACATCCATAAATGTGTATGTCTGCCGCGCTGGCTCTGGCCGACCGATGCCTCTCTCTTGCCATCCGTCTCGTCCGGCAGCTCCACAGACAGCCTGGCGACCTTCTCCCCCTCGCCACCCAGACCAGCTATCTTCCACACCACCACCCACACACCACACAGCCGCCCCTCCCTCACAACCGGCCAGTCGTCCCCAGCGTCAGCGGCCTCCTGCATGACCATCAGCCGGACTGCCGGCTCAGTGTCGCCTTGCCACGCGAGTGGCGAGGAGAGAAGCTCTCCTGTGCTGTCGGGGGCGTGGAGACACACCCATGTCGACCTTGAGGCGGTGAGGGCCGGCAGGTCGATCGAGGCTTGCATGACCGGGGGAACGGACGTGTGTGCCGGGCTGCGAAAAAAATCCAGTGTTAGGGTGCTGGTGTCGGCCTCTGCCGGCAGTGGCAGTTTGTTGGGCAGCAGCGCCGCATTGATGGTCCTGCCCTCCTCATCGCTGGCAGAGAGGAAGGGGTGCCCGGTCAGGGAGACAACGACGCTCTCGTCGCTGATTGACAGGCGCATGGGACCCTTGACCATCAAAGGGAGGTTGGCCACCTCAGCTAGACGCACCACAGGCCCCGAGACGGCAGATGGCGGCGCTGCTGACACCAGAGGCAGTGCCTCTGTCTCGAGGATGTCTGTGAGGCTGGATGACTTGACGGGAGGGGCGGGCAGGCTTTCGGCCTTGCCTCGTTGGATCGCCGGCTCGCTTGCCGCTGTGGCTAACAGGTCCGGTGAAGGTGATTGGTCGGCTGGGTCGGCCTGACAGAGACAGTAGATATGTATGCATGTTTGTTTGTTTGGGTCATTCATAGAGATGTCTGTCTTATGCGCGCGGCGCTTGCCTTGGCGGCGGCGGGTTTGCCACGCCCAGTGAAGCTGAGCCCCCTGAGGATGCCGCCACCTTTTTCCTTCTCTTCTTTCTCTGCCTGACCTAACACCTACAGAAACAAGAGAGAGAGAGACTCCCACTCACACAAAACTTGCTCTTCTCTTCCGATGCCAAGTCACTACCTACCTTCATAGAGCCGTCTTGTACCTGTCCCAGCAGGCCAGCCAGTGGAGGTGGAAGGTGCTCCCAGCTGACTGGTGGTTGGGACAAAGGTGATCGGACGTCGATCACAGAGAGGTTATGGCAGCGGCAGGCAGCTGCTGGGGGCTGGAAAGCGGCAGATGGCTCCTCGACCGACTGCTTCTCTGAAGCGCACGCAGATCGGTTCTGACCACCCACCCCACGGCACATCACATCTGTGCGCGCTCACTTCTCTTATCATCTCCTGGCTCGGCTGTGCCTGTCCAAATGCCGTCCGTGAGAGCCATCCACTGTCCCGTCTTCTCCTTGAGCAGCTCCCGCAGAGCCGGCACATGCTCCTTGACCTTCTCGTCTGCTCTCCTGACGGTCGACCGCCTGCCCCTCTGCCGCCCCCTGTCCTTCGCGCCAGCAAACACGGGCACCACAGCCTTCCCCAAGACAAAAGGGAATGTGGACTGTGTGTCCATTTGCTTGAAGGAAGACTGGAGGTCGCCTGTCCCCGTCCGCACTAGCAGTCCCCCTGGCTTTCTCGGCTCCGCTTTCTTCTCTTCGGACACGCCGAAGTGCCCCGTGACTTGTATCTCCAGCTGCAGCGGGCCACCGAAGTGCGAGGGTGTGAGGGGGAAGGTGAGGTCCATCACGGGCCAATATATCCACACTGCTGGGACGGGAGGGGGAGCGTCGGCCTCGGCGGCGGCATCTGTCGCGGCTGCTGGGTCTGCCGTGCTTGTGCGAGGGTTGGTGTCGTGAAGGAATGCGCGGAACGATCCGTCGGGTATGGTCATCTCGCTGTTGCCGAGCTTGATGGTGACGCTGCACACACGAAAAACGGATCAATGAATGGGGTGGGCGAATGGATCCCTTTACCTGCATTTGACGAATGCTGACAGGGGGGCAGGGAGGGAAGACAGCACTCGAGGGTAGAATATGAATTTCCCCTCAAACCCGCCACAGTAGACCGCGTATGCGTCTGCCGCCCCAACACTTTGCGGCACATCCGTCAGCCCCACCAGCGACAGCCGATATCGCACCTCACCAAACGGACAGAGGAACGCCGAGTGCATCTCCCCTGCCCCCGCTGCCATGGCCTCATCTGCCTCATCCTCACCCTCGACGCCCTCTGTCCACTGCCACTCGTCACCACCCATAGCTAATGACTCCACGGGAAGCCTGGCTAGGGCGATTGGCTGGCTGTGGCCGTCAGAGAAAAAGCTGAGGGAGATATAGCTGTCCGTCGGTGTGTATGGCAGCCACGCCACGTCGCCAAACCGGTAGCTGGGGCCACTAGTGCCGGCTGCGAATGCCCTCGACAGGGACACCTCCCCGTGATGGACATAAGACACCTCGTCGCCCTCGGCTGTCGTTGGCTCAACAGCTGCCTTCAGCGACACGTGTCTCCCTGTCTGCAACCCCTGATGAGCACTGTCGGACGATGTCCATGCTGTTCCCTGCGGCATCTCCGCGACAAAGATAGGCCGCAACGGTGTTGAGGATGGCCCGCCTCCCAACCTCATTTGGTCAGGAAAGGAGGGCACGTCGACCACTTGTAACCTGATGGCCTTTCGCTGTCGCAGCGGCAACAGAGCTGGGAAGATGGGCACCAGGCTTTCTTCTTCGTCGAATGAGGGCATGGCCACGGGAGGGATGGTGGAGACACACAGGCGGAGCGACGGCATCTTGGACAGACCGCCGAGTTCGGACCTCACTGCCGTGCGGATGTGAGCTCCGAGTCTGTCCAGCTCTTCGAGAGATGCTGACGCCTCTGACGGAGCTGGGTGCCTCTCTGACTGTCGCCGCGATGGGGCGGACGTCTGCATGTGCTCCGAGTCGCTGAGGAATGACACTTGTGGCCGACCTTTCATGTCGAGATAGCCGTCTGCGGCCTCGCTGATGTCGACGTCCGACTCCCATCGGCACAGCCACTCGAGTCGGCCGACCTCACCGAGGGTCTCTTCGTCTATGCTGAAGTGTCTAGTGGTCGACTGATAGGGCATCCCGCCTGCTGCAAACCTCAAATAGCCGTCAGTTGAGGCCAACAGTGGAGGCAGCGCTCCCCCGGCAGCAGCTGGCTCGTCCGTCAAAAAGAGGACAAAGAAGTCCACGGCCACTTGGACGGTCAGCTCCTCCTCTTCCTCTTCGTCTTGCCTCCGTCTCTTCGCCCTCTGCTGCTTTCTGATCTCCTCGATGTCGAGCGTAAGGCTTTCGTCAAAGTCCACAATGCACTGCGACTCTGTGGACGACCCTGCGGAGCCGTGAGACATGATCCTTCGGGAGGCGGCAGGCGAGAAAGGCTGCTCGGACAAACGCGAGAGCGATGCCGCATCGGCCGCGGTGCACGCGAAGACAAGAGGTGGCACGAGCTTTGTCTGTGACGAAATCCTGCCGGCCTGCACTCTCGCCCGGAAGAGCAACACAACTCCCTTGAGCATGGGCAGATCGGATGCAGGCGGCTTGGTGTCCCACGGCAAGAGGATGTTGAGCTCTCGGGACGCGTCGTGGAGACAGGACAAGGTCCTCATCAGGAAGGCGTCAAAGCCCTTGAAGTCCGCCATCACCAGCCTCAGCAGTCGGCCCGGCATGGCTGCTGTCGACGGCCGCTTTTTCTTCTCCACCTCTACAGGCACCGGCATGCCCACGGGTGGGGCAGCTGTCTCAGGTCTTGGAGTGGCGGTGCCGCTGACAGGGTGCTGTTGAAGTCTTTCGAGGGTAGAGAAGAAGCGGGACGGCACCAAGTCGGCAAGGTCGGCATTCTCCTGCTTCACCTTGTCGTATTTGGTCTGCAGCTCGGGCAAGTTTGCCTCAAGGAGCTGCGGGAACTCGCGACTTAAAGGAGCCGTGTCAAGGAGTTGGTCGCAGAGGGCGAGCGCTGAGAGGAGGAAGCTATGCAGAGACTCCCCGGCTGACACCTTGGTCTCCAGCTCCTTGACCGTCTCCTCATTCTTGGATTTCTCTTCGGCCATCTGGTCAGATCGCACCTTGCATCCTTGCACTGCAGCTTCCATTTCGCCTGTCAGGGCCTTCAGCTGATCCATCGGGACATCTTCGTCAGGTTTTCTCAATGAGTCAGCTTTCGCAGGATCAAGGTCGCAAATCACGGCCTGAGGGGCAAAGAAGAAGGAGACATTTGTGTCGCTCGTTTTGCCGTGCACATACACAGTTGACCACCCCCCCGCTCCCCTACCCGAATTGGTTCGATCAAGGCCACCACTTCCGCAAGTGGGAGACTGGGGGCACCAGTGGGACTCGTCTCTTGTCGTCCGTCCGCGCCTTCTTGCTCGTCCGTCCTTTCCGTCTCTGTCCCTTGTCTCAGCGCCTCCTACAAGAACACACCACAGACCAGATAACCCGACACAGGGCGACAGCTGCCCGCGTACCATGCCTCGTTGGAGTCTCTCATTCTCTATCGACAGGCGCCGACACTCAACTTGCCTCTCTCCCAGGGTCCTTTTGGTCTCGTCCTTCTCCCTCTCTGCCTTGGCCTTGCCCCCCTCTGCGTCGATAAGGTCCATTTCCAGGGCGTTCTTTTTCTCCTCGGTTTTCTCAAGTTCATCGCGCAGCTTTCTTGTGTCGCCCACGAGGCGCTCGTTTTCTTCTTCCAGCTTGGCGACTTTTTGCAGGGCTTCCTCGTGCTTCTTCGGCGGGATGAGCGGCGCAGGCTCCCGGCCCAATTCATAATCTTTGAGGCGGTCCTTGAGGATGGCGTGCTCAGTACTGAGCCTGTCCAGCTGAGGTCACAGCGAGTGGCGACATAGCGTGCTTGAATGCTTGTGAGCGTTTTTTGTGTGTGTTGTTGCTCACGTCGTCTTTTGCTTTCCTCCTTCCTCCTTCCACTTTGGCGATTTTGTCGTCCTTCTTTCTCGCCAGCTCCTCCAACCTCCCGCACTTCTTCTCAAGGGCCTTGGTCTCCTCTCGTTGTCTCGTGTACATGGCGTGGAGCTCATCGTAGGTCTGCTGTTTGCTCTCGTGGAACGACTGCGTCCTGGCCAGCTCACGCCGCAGACGCCCATCGTTCTCCCGAAGACTCTCGACCTCCTGCTTCATGAACTGCACACAATCACCGTACACACATCACATCTCGATCCAGTGAGACACGCTCCTTGTTTCCTGCCTGACTTTGAGGTCTTCCAGCGTTTTCTGATGCTCGAGCCGCAGCCGCCTGGCAGCTTTCACTTCGTCTGGTGTGAGGTTGGACTGTCTCAGCCGCTGCACCTCCTCACGGTAGGTCTGCAGCTCGGCCCGCAGCTCCTGCACACTCGTGTAGGCCATGTCGTGCTTCAACACGTCGATCACCTGCAGAAACAAACAACGGGCTCGTACACCCAAGTCGATAACGTCGTGAGACACACACTCTTGACCTGTTGCTTCTCATCCAGCTGGCTGTCGAAATCCTGCAGACGACTTAGGTGGACCAGCAACCTCGCCACCTCATTCTCCACACGCACCAGCAAGGCCTGCGGCGGGGACGGTATCCCACCACCCGGCCCACCGCCTCTCTCCCTGTGCGCATGGTGGCTCCTATCTCTCCCTGACGACCCCAGCCCACTGCGGCCCCTGCCGCCGGCAGGGAACGAGTGGCCGTAGGCAAATGCCGGCTGTGGGCTGCAGCTGTGGGAGCGGTAGTGGGAGAGCAGCTCCTTCAAGATCAGCAGCAGCTTATTGATTTCGCCTTCCAGGCCGCGGCACTTCCTTCTGTAGTGGAGGCTGTCGCGAGACTGCTCATAGTTGTCCTGACAGACAAACAGACGAGCCTCATTGTTCAGGACAATAGAAGGGATGGTCACCTGCTTCAAGTGTAGAATGTCGTCCATCAGTCTTTCCTTCGAGAAGTCGTCACGTGATTCGATGTATCCCGCCTGCCTCATACCCGCCTTATCGCCGCCAGCACCCTCCAACAGCGACTGCAGCGGGCTGAATGTGTCGGGCTCCTCATCCTCTTGCCCGAATCTCGCCGGCGTCCGATACCCCTGCGCACTCCTGGCCCTCACATTGCTCCCCTTCTTGCTTGGGCTGCTGCTCTGCATCGCAGTGCTGAGAGGGACGGGCTCACGTGTGCCGGCGCTGGATGGCCGGGTTTTAATGTGTCGGCCGAATCGCTGCTCAGGAGAGGGTGACTGTGGGGGAGGGCCGGGAGGGGGAGAGGGGCGGGTGACTGAATCGCGGCCTGTGGGACGGGCGGACTGTGGCCGCTGAGGCCTGTCGGAACCACCGCTGGCTGCTGCCTTGAAAGACTGATCTCGAGATGTTGTGCCACTCATCCGATTCGCTGAGCGGTCCGCAGAAGTCGTAAGCTGGACGGCTTAAAGCCAATCAATGCGGTGAGCTCCAAATTACAAGGGAAAGGCACGTCGAGATGAGCTTGTCTCCACTTACGTCTCGAAAACGCGTGACAGTCACAGCCCGCCAGGGTGCAGTATTCCTTCGTCTGGAGGACTGACTGATCAGGCCTCACTGCTTGTTCCTCAAAGCTTGTCAGCTCTTCAGGGCTGGCGATCTTCCAGGCCCCCACAGGCGCCCCCATCGTACATGCAGGTGCATCCGTTGGGATGTTTCAATTGTATGTATCCTCACCAGTCCCATGCACGACAATGCATGACACGATGACACTCTCGTAAAATCACGTGCGGCTGTCCGCTGGGTAAAATATCATTGTGGGATACACATGTCTCGCTGCGTGTACTGCCTGTCTGCCTGCCTGCCTGCTTGTCTGTCTGTCTGTCTGTCTGTCTGACTTGGTTGCGTGTAGCTGGTGAGGTGAAGAGACATTTGACCCTAATGTACAAAGTGATCGATGCAACGTCCCGCGGCGAGAAAAAGAAGCCATGTTGCCTCCCTCCCTCTCTCCTGTGTGTATAAAAGGAATACATACCGACATCTACGTGTAGGCATATCGGGGGAACGGACGGGCGATGGGCCTGTAGTAAGGCCGGCCACCTGAGACACACACACACACGAACACATGCATAAACATCCCGTGCCTTTTCATTCGTTGGTCCCTGTCCCTCTGTACCGATGGCAGTGATGCAGGGGTACGGCCCACATCGGTCAGTCCTCTTTCGGCCCCGCACGGTCCCGCGAACGGTATACCGGCGGCGCCGCCGCTGCACCTGCAGCTGCCGATTGGTGTCCGGTTCGTAAGTGACGCTGACGACGTTATCGCCCTTCCCGTCCGTGAGTGTGTAGCCGTCCTCGCTGGCGACGAGAGTGGAGCCATCGTGGAGGTTGAATGTGTATTTGTCGGGTGATGAGACGACGGAGGCAATGTAGTACAGGCCTTGCGTGTCGCTGGCGTGCTGCAGGCAGGGAGGCACACACGAACCCATGTCGACGAATGTCCGCCTGGGAGAGAAGGAAGCCTCTGTCATGTACAGCGTATTGACCGGTATTATGAGCGCAGTAAGTTTGTCGAACTCTTCTAGTCCGACGCCCATCAGATCGGGCAGCAGCCAACGCTCGAGGTCCTCCTGCACACCTGGCCAGGTGAGACGACAGAGGGACGCGTATTCGGACCAATGGATGGATGGATGGATAACGCTTACGGATCTTGATGCCTTCGCGGTGGGCCGCTGTAAGTGTGCCATTGGCTGACACGCTGGTGTCTTTCATGACTGCGAAAGAACGGAGAATCAATGCATGCATACGTCTTGTGTTGCGCCTATCGGCTTACTGCCAACGCCAGCCACCACCAGCCCCAGCATGATGCCTGCCGTGGCAATGTACCCGAGCACCAGCAGGAACACCGCCCAACGCAAACGATTGTTGGCCGAACGCTCACGCAAAACCTGAGGAATCACACGCATCCATCCATCCACACATCGACCGCTCATTTCGTCGTGGGGGCCGCTGCGTTTTCTGCGTTTCTCACCTGTCGTGCGGCTGTACAAACATCCTCGGGGCTGAACGTACCCTTTCCTGTCGTATCCCACTCCTGACGACGACAGAGTAAAGCACAGAACATCAGAACACGATGCATCAGGGCCTCATCTGTGTTCCCGGAGAGCTTGCCTTCAGGAGATCCACGAGTCGGTTCGCCTGGTCGCCCTCCTGGCCTTCACTCTTGTTGACGGCCTTCCTAAACTCCTCAGTGCGACTGGTGCTCACGGCCGCCATTTTTGCTTCCCCCTCGACTCGTGAGTTTACAAGTCAAGGAAAGCATCAGAGCCTCATGATTTGGTTGCTTGTCCCGCTTCTGCTGTGCTTTTGCTGCCCAGGCAGCGCCTCAAACGACACCATTGCAGACCTTGAAGATCTCTCGTCGACACAACACGAAGATCTCTCTGCGACGAAGTCCCTGCTGGAGTCGTTGAGCACCTGCTTGGTCACAACAGTCCTCGACAATGCGTCATTCGCCTGTCCGTCAGCATCTTTGGGCTCTTCTTCTCTATTCTTGCTGGCGCACATCAGGTTGGATGGCAGCACTGGCGTGGAGCGGCTGCGCCAGTTGGTGGACAAACAGATGATACTCATGCGGACACCTGACGATAGATATGCCGGGGGCCCCGTGGCTGTGGATGCTTATCTCTCCGACGGGTCACATGTGGCACTGAAGCTCCTTAATGAGGGGCTGGCCGTGCGGACGGACGACGTGCCGGTGGATGACATACTTGTGAGCACCAACAGTCGGTTCCCATGCCCTCATTCTCGTGTCCTCGTGTGTGTTGGTGTGTCATTGTCAGGGGGCAAAGGCGCGTCAGGGGAAGGAGAGTGTCTATGAAGCTCTGTCGGCTGTCTTGGCGCAGGACGACGCACAGCAGAGAAAGAGCCTCTTCACTTTGCAGCGCTTTCTGTTGCTCATGCCAGCAGCCTGCGCTGTGGCGGCTCTCGTCTCGTTCCTAAGATACCGCACCCTCAACCGAGCAGTCAGCAGGGACCAATGTGTGTCTGCTGCTGAGTTCAGCAAGCCAAGGAAAGTACGTCAGATGGCCAAGCTGAAAGAGAGACGGCGGGCAATGAAGGCAGAGGGCCAGGCAGGGCAGCGAATGGCGGGAGAGTGAGGGCGTGACTGAGTGAGTGAGTGTCCTTTCACGTGTAGGCTTTGTCTTTGCATGTCATGTGGGTGGGCACTGCAGAAACTGCGTGCGCGCACTTGGTACACGGTGATGCTGAGTCAAAGACAGACATACAGACACCATGGAGAGGAGTCAGTTGCTGGGGTGGCCAGACAGTAGTCTCTCTTGAAGAAAGTCGCCAAGATGTCATGTGCAAAATACCGGCACACACACACACACACACACACACATTTGACACACACCTCACACACACCTCACACAGAAGTGGCATTCCCTCCCACCCTCCACCATCAGAGGAATGCACCAGCAGTCAGTGAATTCTGACGACAAAAGCAAGGCTCTGTTGTCTGTCGGGGAGCTGGGCGTCTGAAAGCATCACTCAGCCTCCTCGTCAGCGTCAGCGACAGCTGTGATGGGGCTCACGGGAGGCAGAATTACTTTCACCCACTCTGACACACCCGACAGACAGACAGACAGACAGACGAGTATTTCCACTGTGCCCCGGGGCAGCCAGCCAGCCAGCCAGCCAGCCATAGACAGATAGATAGGATGGATAAAGTACAGACCACCGCAAACACACCCATGCTTGCACCACACCATCGTGACGTAACAACCCACCCCGGCCGGCCGGCCGGCCACCCAACACCCACCCACCCATACTACCCACCCACGGCCTATCTATCCCTCAGTGCGATCCGATCCACGCCAGCCAGCCGTCGCTCAAAAAACATGTGTGTGAGTGTGTATGAGGTTAGAGGGTGCTCTGGCTGTCTGCGACACTGCCGCCCTCCTTGCTCATGGTGGTCGACGATGCTATGCTGCCGTCGCCGCTCACGGACACCGGGACAGTCGGTGTGGTGTCCTGCCGATCATGCCACGACCGGTTGAACGACGACTCGGCCAGGTTGCTGCCCTCGGTGTTGATGATGGTCGATGGGTGCGTCAGGCAACCGGTGCTCGCGTTGCCTAAACCACATACACACACACACACACCTTTGCCACTATCCCCTCCTCCCTCCCTCCCTCCCTCCCTCTTTGCTTCCGTTGCTTACTGTCCGAGTCAGCATTGAGCAGCCCATCCCCGCCCTCCCGCGGCCGCCTGCCCAGCCCCACCACCTCAAACAAGTCCGGACCAGACGAATTGGGACTTGACGACGACGGGTAGGTCGGCAGGGCGGCCGCGGCAACCGTCAGAGGCTGGCCGTTGAGCTGGATCGGCGCGGAGGACTTACTGGGCGGTGCTGAGGATGCGACGACCGGTCGAGATCGGTTAGAGGACGCGCTGATGGTGGTCTCGCGGTCGGGCGCCACATCTGCGTCCTTCTCGCTCGCCGCCTTGCGGGGCGGACGGTGCCTGACCCGCATATAAGAGCAAAGGCAATGAGGACAAAAGTGACGGATGGACGTGCGTGGCTGACTCACCCAGGGCAACATGGTCCCGCTGCAACCAGCTGTCGGGTGCTGGTCGGCTCATCTGGGCTGTATTGGATCTCTTGCCGGAACCGCGCCTCCTGTGTCGGCCGCTCCGCAACGGTCACCTCCAACCACTGACGACAGTAAACACCACAACAATGAGGAACGACACACAAAGGGGTGTGTGCGTGTGTGTGTGTGTGTTCACATGCATTCTGCGCACCTCGGCGCCGCGTTTCTGTAGGTAGTCGGGTCGGAGCTTATCGACGACCCGCTGCCAGATGTAGACGCAAAGCTCCTCTGCCGTGCTGTGCACAATGGGGAGCAGCTGAAACACACAACACAACATGAGATGGGTTGAGGAACGAACACCCCACAAGTCGATGGATAGATGAATGGATGGATGAATGGATAGTTCGTGCATCGCCCATTCAGTCACTCACCGCGCAGTCGCTCTTGGGCAGAGAGAAAAACGCCCCGTCCTCAGTACTGCGGCAGCCCAACAAACCGCACACACACCAACATGATGGTTTGGTTGCATGACACTCGACGCATACGCACGTCGCATTGTGTGTGTGTGTGTGCTCACGTGATGTTGACGTTTTGTTTGTTAGGGTCCGATATCTTGCTGTCGTAGTTGGGCGGGTAGCAGAAGGAGATGTGCAGCACGTCAGACTTCATCGGCACCAACAGATGCTCATTCAATTCCTGCAACACACTCACACCCACAAGCTTCCACATCGCCTTACCCAAGGACGGATCTATGTCCTGCTTCTCTGATCTGCCTGTCTGTCTGTCTGTCTGCCTTCTCTCCTCCTTGGTTGTGTGTTGTACCTTGCAGACTTCCCTGGCGACGCGTTTGAGGTCTCCGAAGTCCATGACGTAGCCATCGCTGCCGACCGGCCCGCCCAGCCGGATGCCCAGCGTGTAGTTGTGGCCGTGCAGCCGCTCACGGAAGCCCTTGTACGCCACAAAATGCGCACACGAAAACTTGAAGTCGGGACTACTCACGCCGACGTCAAACGTCGCCGGCATGGCTACAGCTGGTATCAACACAACAGATCACCCACGAGAGAACCACCCGCCTGGAAAGCAGCAGCAGCGATTTCGTGGAGCACCCTAGGTCTGCGAGCTCAAATTTTGACAGGCATCTTTCGCTGCTTGAAGCGTGTCGAAGTGGTCCACTGGAGCGTTCAGTTGACAGTGAGCAGCAGGGCAAGTTGACCACACACTCTCATTCTTTCCATGTTCTGTCTGTCGTGCCACTCTGCAGGTGTGTGTTTGAATGCACATGATTCATCAGATCACAGCAGCAGGCGACCTGGCTGCGGCCACACACATGACGGCCTCTGTGATGACAGCAACCGGAGGTGACAACTCATGCGGCAGCAACGCGCACATGGACCACTTGGTAAGTCGTGCAGAGAAGGCTCTCAAATCAATCATGCACCTGGTGTTGTGACTTGTATGTGTGCAGACTTTGCTGGACAACATCCGTCACACGCTCGTCAGACTGAAACAAGTGCACTCGCAGGTGTGTACCACCCATCCCTCTCTTCGGCAGCCAATGCCTGACTGCCGTGTGCATGTTCCATGTGTATGTAGGAGCCGCCAGATGCACTCAATTTCCTGTCTACGAAGGCTCAGGTGACACAGAGAGGGGAGCGTGCGTGTGCTTGACTTGACGTGTCTATGTGTGTGCAGGAGTCGCCCATGAGTGCATCTCGCGTGGAGATGGCCAATCGGGTCCTGCGGGATCTGTCGTCGTCGATGGAGACCTACAACGCCGCCATATCGCGCCTGAAGGGCCTGGCACTGGTACGCCTGACGGGTCTGTGCACAGCGTCTGACTGGCTCATCTTGTCCTCTCCCTGCCTGTGTGGTTGGTTCATGCAGCTGGAGGGAAACACCAAGTTGTTTAAGCTCCGCCCTCCGGAGGAGGCCACCACGTCACGTGGGAAGGAGGTAAATGATGCTACAAGTAGGTGTCCAGTCTCGCCCATATATCCTCATGTGTGTTGCTGCGTCCATGCAGGCTAAGGTCGGTGCCACGAGCTCTCGTGTCCATGCACCTGCTGCGTCCTGCTCGTCGTCGTCGTCGTCGTCGTCTGCTGCTGCTGCTGGTGATGCCTCTGACGCGGGCTCATTCGCGCAAGAGCTGTACGGCCTGCCAGTGGAATTGCTCCACGACGTCCTCCCCAAATACATCAGGCCGGACGAGACCATCGGCCTCGTCAAGATCAGCTTCGCCATCGCCCGCACATCACACGCCGGCAGCGGTACAGTCGAGGCAGCGATGGCTTCGGCCGTCACTAGCCTCATCGAGCGCAATGGCCTTCGTGGCGTGCTCGAATACCAGCCGTCAGGTCAGTGGGGCGGCTGCCGTCGGGTCTTCCGACTCATCCGGCTTTTTTTCATACTGGAGAGGGGCGGCAACTGGGCGGACAGCGTGCCGCTGCTCAGCTTTGCCCACAGCTACAAGCGCATCCGACAGCTGCCCATTCAGCTTTCTACGGGTGCTGTGCGGCGTGGGACCGTCGGCAGCAAGGCGGTACTCGACAGTCGTCCGGCGAGCCTGCGACAATACATCCTGTTCAGCCATCTGTTAGGCCAGGACATGATGCTGACGCGGACGGCAGACGGGAGGGAGTGGCTCGGTCTGAATACCGGGACGGTTATCTCGTACCCTCCGTGGACAGGTAATGTCATGTCAGCTTGCATGGATTCGTCTGTCCATCGGTCCCCGATCTCTTTGCTTGTGCAGATGGTACGTTGGTGTATCGAACCTTACGTGGAATGATCATTGCTCGGTAGGCCGGCCGCACACACATCAGAGCACACGACGGCAGCAAATCTTATCCTCTGGCTTCAGAATGGCCGAACAGGGGTCACGTTGCGTGGCGCATGTGGAGCATCGTCGGTCGTCCGCTGCGTGTGCTCGCATTGCAGCACTGATCACCGAGCCAGCGCCAGTGTGGGGTCGGCAGAATATTGTCGACTGCACCAGCCGGCTGGGCCTGCCATCGCGATACGTCTTCTTGTGTGGCCACAGGCCGTCCGACCTCTTTGCGGCACACATCAAGATGGTCAAGTACGGTGATGGATCGACGGGCATCTCACTCTGGAGCAGTCGTGATTGCGAGGATGCCAAGAACAATCCTGCGGCGGCCCTCGCTCGCCACGTGATGCGAAGCGACGCGTGGCTGATCCCAGCGGTCAACGAGGCGACATCTGCAGACATGTATGAGCAATAGGTGTACACACAGGGATAGATGCACGAGAGTGCAGTGAAGCAAGCAACATGGCAAGCAAGCCGCTGACGTATTTTTTTGTTTTGTGTTCAGGTGGTGGCGGCGGTAATGACTGTCATCTCTGTGCACACTACGTTCTTTGGCGGTCATGCATGAGTGCATGTATTAGAAATGTAAACCAGTGGTGCCTTCGTCAATTTTTTTGGCGGCAGCTGTACAGTGATTGGCGTTCTTGTGTCTCTGCCGATAGCGACACCTGTGCATGTACTGACTACAGCTGAGCAACTAACACAATTGTGAGACTGCGAGCTCGCATGCATACGGCCCCCAGGCCCTCTTGAAAGTTTCTTTCCTTCTTTCTGAAGCAGATCTCACACAAAGGTCCGCAAATGGTGGAGAGTCTTTTGTTCACCGTTGTTGCTTTCACCAGCGAGGACCGCAGCAACGGAAGATCCGCCGACGCCTTGAGCCTTATCCATCTCACAGGTCAGGACACCGGCGGCTGGCAGAGCGAGGCGCTTTGTTCCTTTCCCCAGGAGCTTGTGCTGCAAGTAGAGGCGCGGTGCTGCGACATCGAAGAGGTGCGGCTTTATCCTCACCCGGATTGCTGCCCTTCAGAAGTCGAAGTCTGGGTGAGCAATGACTTTGTCGCCCCTGCGGACTGCTATGACTCGCCCTTCGAGATGCTGGGTTCAGCGTGCTTTGACCAAGACAACAAATGCGGAGTTGTCAAGAGTTTTGCAATGGGAACCTACGTCAAGATGGTCGTTCTCGGGAGGAGAAAGCGGGATGGTGAAACGGACAGCGCGAATGCCGGGAGGGTGGGCCTTCGAGCAGTCGAGGTGTGGGGACGGCGGCCCAAACGCACACAGCAGTCCAGCGGGGCGACAGAAAGAAGAAAACTTGACGGATCAGGCTCGTTTGACAACCTATGGATGAGTGAATCGGCAGTGAGAGACGCGCTGTTGGATGCTGGCATCCCGCTGGAGCTTCTGCCAGACTGTGAAGGCCTTCCCCTGCAGATGCTCGACAAGTAGGTACCCTGCGGCACAAAAGAAATCCACGACATGTCTCACTTAGGCACCACGCGATGCGTTCTCGACTGCAGGTCTTCACGTGACCTTCTCTTGGAGCTGCGTGAACAGAAGGACGCCGCAGTCGCTGCTGAGAAGTTTGCTGAGGCGCAGCAGCTTCAGGACGGAATTGACAGCGTCACACATGTGGGATCGCTGCTCAAGACGTACGAGGTACGACACCGACCGAGACAGAAAAACTTGCACTTGGATGGAGTCGTGTGCTGCAGAAAACAAAATCTCGTCTTCTGTCGGAGGAGCGCTATTCGTCAGCCAAGAGCCTCACTGCTGACGTGATGGCACCGCTGGAGCAGGAGCGCCTACGTGTCGCCTGCATGTTCAATACTCGATGGTTCGAACAGGTCATAACGATTGAGACTCTGAGCCCCGCGGCGTGGACACAGCGGGAGCTTGAGCGGCAAAAGAAGGACCGAGAGAAGGTGCAGGCGGCCCGAGATGCCAAGAGGGAGTATGAAGCCAAGTACAAGAGCGAGAAGGGGAAAGCAGGGCAGCTGAACGAGGAAGTACAGGAGCTGAAGAGGCAGAACGAGACGCTTCAGAGAGACATGGAGGTGAGGTTGACCACACGACAGACTCGAAGCAATCGTCACATGCCCGATCTATTCGATGTCGTGTGCAGCATTACCGTGAGGAAATATCGCGCTTTCAAAGGGAATCTGCGACTTTGACAGAAAGACAGGTCGCAGCACTCTCGTCTCGTTCACATTTAGGTGGCTATTGATATCTCTGTGTCTGTGCAGCGCCGTATCGAGCAGGAGGAAGCCAAGCGGATCGCAGAAGAGCAGCGCGCCCTCGAGGTGAGCGACTCAAACCTTTCCCTTCCGTCAAGGCAGGACCTCATCGTGTGTTGGTCTTGTCATCAACTAGGCTGTTCGTGCTGAGGCCATTCGAGAAGCGGAGGAAGCCAAGCAGCAAGCCCTTGAGCGAGTTGAGCCGCCGCTTGCTGAGGCAGAAACGCTCATGAGCAGCCGGGGCCCATCGCCGGATCTGAAGGAGAGACCACAGACACCAGAGAAGAGGAAAGCGCAGCCCTACCTTACCGACATGACCCCTCAGGTATCACCTTCAGATGTTGTGGACATACCAGATATATACCCATCTGTAATCTGTTACTTACATCCGACAGGAGATATTCTTTGCGGAGAAGTATCACCAGAGCTATAACCAGGAGTTCCAGATACCCGGCGACACTGACGGAAGCCTTGAAGAGACGTTTTCCCAACCAGTCGTCGACTTCTTTGGCCGTGTTTGCTGGTAAGTGAGGCAGCAGCAATCAATCGCTTGAGTTTTGTTTATGCCTTTCAGCTATTTGTTGTGTGCCCCCGATTGGCGACGAAAAGAGTTCACCCTCGCAGTACTCGCTGAGAGCTGGACGGACTTCGTCTCTCTGTTTGAGATCGGCCAGCAAGGGGGAAGCGCCAAGGGCACGGACACGCTGTACTCGCCGGCTCCCTACACCATGTGGAAACACCTCTGCAAGCTGGTCGAATATGGCCTCTTGGTGAAGTTCGTGCAGGTGCAGCTGGCATCGCTGCACCTGATTGCTACTGTCTTTGACTTCTTCATACTCCGACTGACCAAGCCGCATCTCAACAGTGGGCTCAAGGATATTGTCGGCCTGATCGTTGCCAAGCTGGGAGACACGAACATGAGACTGCATCAGGTAGGCTCACACGGAGACATCCACGCCATGCAGCTGTCTCTGTGTCTGTCGTCAGGCGTCTGAGTCTCTTGTTCCCACCATCGCGAACAAGGCTGGAGCCTCGCACCTGATCACACATCTAGTCAATCCGCCAGGTAGGATACCACCTCCCTTTCGAAGCAGACTGAGCCCTGTATCTAGCAATCTTGTGTCGCAGTTGTGGTAATGAAGGACACAGTGAGGTCACTGGATAGCGCAGACGGCACTACGCCACGTCGACGGGGCAGTTCAGGGAAAAAGGGGCTCAAGGAGATGACGCTCAGCCAACTGCACTGGAAGGCACTGACGGCACGGCTGGCCTCGGCACGCACAGTGGTGCAAACATGCGGTACGGGGATGAAGACACACCACACATGAAGGATATCTGTTTGTTTCTGCACTGACGTCAGGCCGTCCTTGTTTTGACTCGACGAAGTCTTATTCGGTGCCGTCCATTATACCACTGGTCATCGACGGGCTGCACCACGCACACAAAGAGGTGAGCCAAGGAAAGCAACTGAGGAGAGGGAGACATGACTTCCGGATCGATCGATGTGTGGATATATGTGTCTCAGGTCCGTCATGCTGCCATCGAGCTGGCGGCCTTGCTCTTTCTGTTCGCTGGTGAGGACCTGTTGCCCTTCTTGCATGGCGCAGGGCTACCTGATAACGTGACCAGGCTGCTCAACGAGAGGTAAGGCGTGCAGCCGTTCATCGGTTCACACAAAGCTTCATGCTTCTTCACAGGTTCCACGAGATATCTGATGAGGATGTGCCGCTTCCCCGTGACGGCGGGCACCCAGAGGAGAGCGGAGAGGGCAACGACAGCGCGTGGTGGAATAGGAGACATGACAGTGCCAGAGCTTCGCGAAAAAGCCTCACTCCCAGCAGATGATGCCAATTTGCTATGCATGTGGACAATGATCGGAACAGTGACATGTGTACACACTTGCAGCAAGGAATTACGTATATGAATTGTATATCTACACGAAACATACAAAAGGGCACCAAAACGTCCCTGAACCTTCAGACACACCCAACAAGGGGAATTGTGAGTTTCATGCATGCAGCCCCCCCACGCCCCCCGGCAAAAAAAAACAAACAAACAAAAGGCAATAATGGAGTACGAAGGATCTCCGGCTGCAGCTGACGTAGAAAAGCCACCGCTTGCCAGTAGCGGTGCGTTGGAGGCCCCTGAGGAGCCGTCAGCAGCCGTCCACGCGGCCAGAGCAGAGGAAGAAGGAGATGATGAGCCTCCTCCGCCTGTCCGTGAGCCCTCACGCCCTTTCTCCCCTGCGTCGCCCAGCACGGCGTTCGCAACAAGGGATAAGGACACGCTGAAGCCGAGGGTTCGTGGGAAGGGCCCGGAGAGACGGTCATGAATGTCACTTGCTGTCAATGCTGTGTGTTGTTCTGCTGCAGCATTTGAGGCCACCCAAGAAGCTGAGCAGCTCGATTGCACGGTTGCTGCATCCCTCTGCGGGAGAGCCGCGTCCCCTGTCTGTCATGCCGAGAAATGCTGCAGAGAGGTGAGTGACAGAAATGCACAACCATTCATGGCCGGTTTGCTGGTAACCTGTCGACTTGGATGTGTTCTGCAGCCTGGCGCCGCCGCAAGCAGTTGACATGATGGTCGTCAAGGCCTTTGTTCATCGGCTGGATGGGTAAAGTGAGCGGGCAATGAGTTTGGTTGTCACACACGAAGAAGGCTTACGTGTCTGTTTCCTTGCTTGGGGCAGAGATCTGGACGGGCGGGTGGAGGAGCATGGAATAAATGCGCTTTGTCGGAAGGCACACCTAACTTACACACCGTACGACGGACGGAAGGCGACACGGACATGGCGGACAGACAAGCGAAGTGTGTTTGTACTGCTGTCTCAGGCAGTTGGTCGCCGACATGTTCCAAGACATTCGAACAAGGAGAAACGAATGCCAACAGTGCGTAACTACTGAAACACCAAAGCACAAGCGTCCCATATGCCTTGCCGGCCCTTGTCTCTCCTATAGACACATTCCGAGCATCACGGCAGATGAAATCGGCGGCGCAATGCGGGGGCGCAAGAAATGGAGCTTCGCCTTCCACCTCCAGATGTCTCTCGCCCCACCCCATCCCCAGCTGTCCTTCGAGCAAGCACCGACAGTGCAACGACTGCTCACCCTCGCAGACATTCACGATCTTGTCAAGGCAATCAGGGCGCATATGAGCGTCCCCGAGCCCCCTTGTATCGACCAGCACAGAGACTCTGCGTCTGAAAAAGAGCTGCGGTTGACCATGGCAGCGATGCAGAAGTGGTTCGGTGGGTTGAGCTCTGACCGGCGTCTTCTGGACGTGCCCGCGGTTCAGGAGATCCTGGGGAGACAGGTGCTGCGGCAGATTGGCAGGGGGGGGATGGTGGAGACAAGGCAGATGCTGGAAAAGGCTCTCATGCCGACCGAGGGTGCGAAGGACTCACCAGCGAGTGCATGGAGTGTGTCGATAGCTCTCGAAGGACCGAAGCGGGTCTATGCCTATCCACTGCCCAAGTACTGCCAGCAGTGGGTCAAGGTCAGACAAGGAAAGGCACGTGGACAAAGGGAATGGCAATGCAGTGTCGACTGCCCTTGCCTTTTGCAGATCTTTGGGGCGCTTCAGATGAATCCATTGCAGAGGCTTGTGGTGCACGAGACACCGGAGCAGATCACCGCACAGAGCGATCGGATGCAGCCGTTCGTCATGTCTGCGAGGTGAGACACTCTCACGAACGACCACACACGACCGTCCGCACACAAACATCCTTTTCCCCCTTCACAGGAACATAGCCGTGGTTCCAAAAGGCTCTCCCGGCGCCACCAAGACACGCGCCCCCCGTAAGAGCCCCTTCACGCTCTCTGCCCCATCGGCGCGGCCACACGACTTTTACCCGATCCATCAAGACTTCATTCGCACAGAAGAGCTGCCAACAGAGGCCGCAAGAAAAAGGACGAGGTTCGAGGGTGATGAGAACGAATCGCTTGTCAACAGCACGCTGCGGGGGAATGAGCGGGAGGGAGAGCGAGAGGCAGCGGCACAATTGAGGTGCACTTTCTCTCCGAGGGAGACATTTCAGAGCGGGTGCTTGCGGAAACAGGAGCGGCAATCAGGTCAGACAGGGGAGGGACCAGTCGTTGCTTGGATGAATGCCGTGTGATGGTGTGTGTGTGTGTGTGTGTATCTTGTGTGGTCAGATGAGAGCAAGCACCTAGCGATGCAGCTTGATGCGGTGGAGACGTTGCGGCGAGAGCTGATGTGTGAGGGGGCGACAGGCAGGATGAACACCAGAGGCCCGTCCAAAGTCAACTCGTGCTCTACCGTCGGTCGCAATGACCCTACAGATCTTTCCTGTGTGGTTGATTTACTCTGGTTTGTTCATTGTCAGCATGAGGACTACCCGTGCCTCAGCAGCGACACGCCATACGGCGGCATCGAGCAGCCGTTGCGACCCTCACAGAAGCTCACATTCACGAACACACAGTCACGCCAAGAGGTAAATGAGACAGTGAGGCACAGACGTCACAGTGTCCTGTCTGTGTCGCCAGCTGATTCGGGGACTGTGCCGTGCTGCATTGGATCTGCACAAGCCGCCACGGACAATATTCGATCCGCCAGAGACCACTGCCACGCAGTCGCGCACAGCAGAGAGGTATGTGGCACTGAGACGTCATGCGGCTTGAGCCACTCGTCGGTGGATGGTGCGACATGGTGCGAATGCAGAGACTCGGAGAAGTTTGGTCGCTCGTCGTTCGACACCAAGGCAAGTCATCCACGCCGCCGCTTCTTTTAACCCTGACGCTTGATGTCTCCGCTGCGGCGCTGCTTGCCTTCCTCTGCTGTCGTCAGGTGGTGCCAGTGTCTTCCAGGGAGCGTCACTTCCTGCAGCAGCTGGACAAGCGGCCCATCTACTTCTATGACGACCTAGCCACCAAACAATGCGACGCTGAGAGACTTCACGTATATACGAACGTCAAACGAGTCACACTTCTTACTGTGGATGGATGCCACACATCGATATCTATCGATGTCCCTTCTTTCTTTCACTTTGCCAACAGGCTCCCCATGGCAAGGCCGCGTTCAAACAAAGCCTGCCGAGAGCAGAGAAACCTGACAAATATCACGTAGTGACACACCTGAAGCAAAGGACCCATTTGCATGTGTGACCTTTGTGTGATCGATGCGGTTGGTGACCGACTGATCACAGAGTTTTGCTTCCACCGAGCTGTTCCGCGACCACATGTCTCTCGGAGGGCCGCCGGCCTACCCTTTCAGGCAAGCGGAGGACGGCCATGCCTCTGTGTCTGAGAAGGAGTTTCAGGTCTACTCACGGCCACTGGGTGGGCCAAACAAGACAGACGTGGTGTGTGGGGATTGTCAGATTTGTGTCTGTTTGTGTCTGTTAGGCCCCCACGTGCTTGACCGCCGTCTGCCGCTGGCGCCTCTACTTTGCTGACATGCATGGGGAGGGGAGGGGGTTGGTGTCGCTGCACTGTCTCTTGTCACGTCACGCACACGTACTCACTGCGATAAATAGTCACTCTCGTCCTCATCGGGATGTTGCTGTTGACGCCTCACAGCCGAGCCCAGCTGGCTGGACAACAGCTCTGGTGGCGCACGTGACAGGCGATATGCCATCAAGACATCAACACACCCATCAGCCCCCCTCACCCACACACACTGTCCTCTGCTCTCCTCCCTATGACAGACTCTCGCCTCCTCATCGATGTATTCATCTCCGCTGTGCTTTAGTGTCGTTCCGGCATAATCGGCCCTTTCCTGCAGCTTCTCGACGGTGCCACTGGCTGTCGGTCTTAACCAACAGCAAACGGCCCCATCGGCAAGCTACTCAACAGGGTCGGATTCGCCAAACGAACCACAACACACGATACACATAACACTCGATTCGATTCTATTCTGTCGGCCCATCCGCCCCGTCCCGCCCCGCGTCGCATCGCTATCGCATTATCCTATACATACACACCCCCATCAGCCATACCAACCCACCGCATCCCAACCATCCATCCCTTCTGAATCACAGCAGGAGCGCCCGGTGCATCCTCTGCAGATCCACCCCCAGCAGCGCGGCGTTGCATTTGAGCGAGTAGAGCTCCACGCCCCCCTCCTGCCCATCCAGCAGCTGCGGCGGGTCGTAGGCGCTCAGCCGGTCGGTCGACACGGGAGGCAGGGCGGGCGGCGGCGTCACCAACACGTCGATCTCCCACTCAAACTCCACCAGATCGCTCGCACGGATGGAGGGCGGAAAGGGGCGCGTGGAGGCGCGGTCCGCGGCCAGGTCGCCGTCTGACGAGAGAGAGAGACACAGAGACAGCAGGCAGGCCATGTGGGTCAACTGGATTGTATCTCCCCCTCTCTGTGTCTGTGTCTGCGTCAGTCAGGACCTTCTCCAATCATGGCCTGAGGCTCATCCCCCGGACTCACAAAGCGGAACCGCAACGCATACGACACTGACACTGTACACAACACCCACAGACACACGGATAGATAGACGTATAGAGACTCTCACACAAGAAAGACAAGGCGCTTCTTTGCCGGCTCCTCCACACACCCATACCCATGTCGGTCTCAAAGGTCGGCGGGCACGTGGGCGGGACGTACACGGTCATCTGTGTCGCGAGCTGGTGGATCACGCACTGCCCCTCCTCCATCAGCACCAGCCGATGCACTGTCGGGCTGCCCTTGGGTGTCGGTGGCCTCCCTGCCTGGCCGCTGCTGCCCTTAGTCGAGGGATCCTTCAGGAACGCAGGCGGCAGATCGCTCTCACTCCGCTCCACACGAATCAGGCTCACAGACACCTTGACGCAGAGAGAGAAGGACAAGATGGCATTAGACAGGTGGGTTGCATTCCTGTGGTGGTCTTGCCTCGTAGATGGAGACTTGAGCGATAGAGAAGTCCAGGTTGATCTCGATGGGCGCGCCGAGGTGCACCGAAGGGTGTGAGCGGCCGCCGGCGGGGAGGAAGGGCGACTTGCCCGTGGCAGCGTCTGATGAGAGGATCTGGATCACACACACCGGCACACCGCTGCGGCTCACGCGGTATGACACTGCACCAGCAACACACCAAACAGACCGACCCACACACGCTCTCACAAATGACCGCTCCTCTCTCCCTCTGGCTCGCTTACACACGGTAGGCGCCGATGGCTCCTGGTCGTCATCGTCCTCATCGAAAATGGACGACCGCCGCCTGCCGGGATGCACCCCGCCGCCCCTCTCACCACCACCACCGCCACCGCCACCCTCATACCCGTTGAGCAGCCCCGCCGATGCCGACCTGACGGGCGCCCCGTGGAGGCTGTCCGTGTCGGTGTCGTCCGACCGTGACGTCCGCGAGCGGCCCTTCATGGCCGCGGTGGCGGGGTGTGTGTCTTGGGGGGCCAGTGGGTGCAGTACATGCAGCAGGGCGGGGCCGTGGCGACGGATCGAGTGGGATGACTGCCACAGGGCATAGTTGGCCTGAGTGAGTGAGAAAGGGGCGGACACGGAAGGAACGGTGAATACATGTGGCTTGGTGGTGGTGTCATTGTCATTGTACCCTCGAGCCCGGCCTAGCTTACCTCTAGTGTGGCTGGTGGGTGGTGTGCGTTGTAGTTGTATGCATGCCACACACCCCGACCGCAGCCAACGCCCTTCAACATCGATATCTGTCAGAACAGACACACACATCCGGGCCAGAGGCACATTATCATGAGGGAACCCCGCCCGCACTCCCTCTTGCCGCCCCCCACCTGTGAGTGGCTGCCGCCGCCCTCCCACGCCCTGCTCTGGAAGTCAAACCCAAGATGCCGAAGCCGAGGCGACGACATGGTGCCGTTGGGCGAGCCACCTCCAGACGCTGCTGTTGCTGCTGCTGGCGGCGCGGCGGGCGACGATACCGATCGTGCTGCTGACGATGCCGTGCTGGTGGTAGACTTGATCTGTATAATGGTGGCAATGCGTGTGCAGTGGGTGGGTCGGTGGGTGGGTGGAGGCATGTGCTGTGTGTGTCGGGTTACGGGGATAGGTTGTGGTGGCGCGCTGGCTGCGAGTGCGGGCAGGTTGGATGGCGATGAGGGAGAGGGTCGCAGAGGCCCCTTGCGGCGCCTCGCCGCGTCCTGGTCTGGGAGGATCAGGGGGCCCAGAGTTGGAAGCAACGGCAGGTCTGACACAACCACAAACACACATGTCACACGGATGGGTGTGTTGCGGGGTTCTCGCTCAGGTGACTCACTCACCGTTGCACCTGGGTCCCATAATCATGACGGGCACCTTGGCGGTGCTCTGGTGCGATGACAGCAGGTAGGGATTCATGGTCTCGACGCGGCGGGGAGACCGCTTCTGGCACGTCAGCAACAGGTAATACGAATACCTGGTTGACACACCACACACACACACACACAACCATCGGCAACAGAGCATCCACACAGCGCGCCAGCGCGCGCGCGCGCGTGTGTGTGGTGTTACTTGGTGTGTGTGCCGCTGAAGGATGGCGGGATGAAAGGTGGGATCAGACACTCAAACCCAACTGCACACACACACACACACACACACACACACCAGAGCAGTTGTGCTGGAATGGTACGATGGTTCCTCTGTTCTGTTGGCTTACACCATCGCGCCTCATTGGCCTCCATGTGTGCGAGGTTGAGGTCGCTGCAGACCACACAGGGGTCCGACACGAACAGCAGGTTGCTCGACGACCCAACACCAGACACACCACCACCAATACCATCACCTACACACACACCACACACCACACACACCAGACCATCGCCACACCTGACTCTCTCTCTCTCTCTCGCTTATCGTGGAGTGTTTGTCCGGCCATACCGGAGGAGAGCGTCATATAGGGGTCTTCTGGATTGTACAGAGTAGAGCCCTTGACCTGGTGCGTCCTGGGGAGGCCCATGTTGGCCAGCCGTGGGTCGGTCACTTGTCCGCAGAGCTGCACCATGAGGTAGTCCAGGTTGACCAGCCGCGCGTCCAGCGACACCGCCACATCGCTCAGCTGGTGCAGGATGATGTTGCAACGCAGCACGTCCCCGGCGAAGTAGCCGGGCTGGCTCAGCAGCACCTCCAGATGAACGGGCGTCTTCTCGGCCATGCCGCCGGACGCTACACACACGGGATCTCTCACAGAAAAGGGGCTTTTTCACTTCGCGAAGATCTGGGCGAGCTCAAGGGCGAGCTTGCGTGCTTCCTCATTCTCGTGGTGGTGGTTAAGGGTAACATCGTTCTCGTTGACGTCGGCTGTCTGACTGCGAAGAGTATTGAGCTGTGCGTCGCTTCACTTAGCTTGTGCGATGAACTGATCTGCGATTGGATTAGTCAGTCGGAGGTTCGCACCGCTTGTGCGATGAACTGATCTGCGATTGGATTAGTCAGTCGGAGGTTCGCACCGCTGCCTCCCAGGCTGCCTCTCCCGGCGAGGGTCTGACTGACGAGGAATACATACAGGTGAACAACACTCACACAGGGGCTGGCGCACGCTTGAGATCCACCGAGAAATCGGCGGGAGGTGGGAGACGCCGCTGCTGAACGGGTGTGTGGTGCATGTGCGCATCTGATGCTGCAGGTGCGATGAGCCGCCGCATGTGGTGACGCGTAGGCCATGACATCTCGGCTGAACGACCCTCCCGAGGTCGCGCGGCAGGGAGGGAGGGGTGGAGCGTCGAATGCTGGCGCCAGTCGTACCATTGAGAAGAGGAACGCCGCACCACCGATGCGCATGCAGCTCAAGACGGCCGTGGACCTCATGCCCAAGTCGGAGAACATGGTACAGCACATCCTCCCACACACACATGCACTCTGCCTGCCTGCTCATGCGATTAATGCCCTGTCTGTTTGCCTGCCTGTGTGTGTGTGTGTGTGTGTGTCATGCTGTCAGTTTGCCGCGTTGGCTAACCCGAACCCCAGCCCGACCAGTAGCAACAGCTCGTCACACGTCCCCCCACCCGCAGCCGCCCCCGCACCACCGCCCGCCGTCTCGCCCACCAACAAGCAGACCAAACGGAAAAAGATCAGCAACGCACCCGCAAACTCACCGAGAGCGGGCAAGTCGCCGCCCCCCGCTCTCCCCGTCACCAAGAGCGCTGTACCGCCAGCACCGCCTCAACCACCACCACCCGCCCTGGCTGCTAGCGGTGGTGCTGCGTCGTCCCCAGCTACCGACGAGCGAAACGAGCGAAGGAGTCTGCCGGCAGGGATGCTATCTATGGGAGCCATGCAGCAGCAAGCGCTCGGCGAGCTGCAAGCCGAGGAGGACATGTTGGTGGACCAGTTGACGTCGAACCAAGAGGCTCTTGCTTCACACGCTGTCAGTCTGACGGCAACGGCCGCGGGGCCACCAGGCATGACGGCTGCGGGTGCTGGTGCGAGCAGCGGTCCGCCAGGGATGGGCCCGTGGCCCTCGGTGCCACCTGGGATGGGAGGGGGTGGTCTTGTAAATGGTAGTGTCGATGTGGGCATGAGTGTGCCTCCGGGCATGGTGCCGCATGCAGGTCAGTCAGTCACGTCACGCAAGACAAGGAAGGACAGGGGGGGATGGATCCAACAGGATTCTCTGTCTTCTCTCTCATTGTGTGGGGGGGGATGTGTTGTGTTGTGTTGTGTTGTGCAGGTGGCGTGTCTACATCGGAGAGTCAGGGGATGGCTTACGCCTTCCCGGGAGGGCCGACGCAGCAGGGCCAGGCTCTGCTGCCCACACCAATGCGTAAGCGACAGACAGACACCGATGCACTCGATGGACGACACTCACACACACACACACACGCGCGCGCGCGCGCGCGCTCAGGCCTGTGCACCCATCTGTATGCATGTCATGTGTCTGATCCAGATGCTCGCGTACCTCAATCGCAGTGGTACTCTCCCCCGCCCCCTCCCCCACACCCACCCCCTCTCCGTCCCCACCCGCCCCGCAGTATGGATGAGAC